TTGAGCTGTGTAAAGCTGAGTTGTAAAAGATTCAAGTTAACAATTTCAGACATTTTCCAGTTCTGCTAACAACCCGCTACTATTATGGACTATTGAAATATTTTGCTGAATTCAAGTACCTACAATAGTTGAACTGGCATCAAGTATGAAAAACTCCTTTAAAGACTTCTCCAAATACAGTTTCTCTAACAACAATGGAACACCAATCTCTGATAAAACAAAAAATGGGGACATAAATGAAGGACCATTTAGGATAGATATACAGCTACCTTCTATTAGTTCAATGAGAAGAAAGATTTGTATTAATATTGTTTAGACAAGATATCATATCTGCATACTGTTCTCTGAAAAACTATTATGAAGACAACCATATGCAATGTATTAATTATTGCAACTGTCCTACTAACCCCTTTTGAAACTTTCATTGCTATTTTTTCTCATTAAAATGAATAAAAAATAAAAATTAAAAATATATTTCTCACGACTCAACCTATCATAGTAGTGGTCACCATTTAATGGATAACCTAGAGTACCTAGTTACATTTACAATTCAATAAAAAGTCACCTGGTGGATTTCTTTAGTGGAGTGCTAGAATGACAGGAAAGCCTAATGCTCACTATATGCTATGCAGTCAGCTGGCTGTCTCCTAAAGCTCAAGATACTTCTTAGTGATAAGACCTCTTTTTTATGTATATAGTACAGGGTCTACAGGGTTTCACTACATAGATCAGACCCATAGTGATTCTCCTGTGTTTGGCCTCCCAAGTGCTGGAATTTTTTTCCATAATTTTATTGAGAAACAAATAGCAATGAGACAGTTTCAAATCAAATAGGTAGGACAGTTCCAATAATTAACACATCACATACTCTCTTCCTAGTGGTTATTTGCTGTACAAGATGCGGACATGGTATCCTATTTACAAACACTATTAGAACAAATCCCTCTATTCATTAAGAAAATGTAACTATATATCCTAACCATTCTGAATACACAGATACAAAATATACATTTATCTGCATCCCCTTTTTGGTTTAGTTCTGTCATTTGAATATTATACGTGTGTTAACTCAGCAAAATATTCTAAAAGAGTCCAGTAGTCCATAATAGTATTGGGTCTTCCACTTCACTGGCAGTGTCAGAAATTGTTGACAGGAGTTCCCTACAGCTGAACATAACACCATGGCTTCACTTCTTATACTTCATTTTTATATTTTTCTGTTGGTTGGTTAAGACCAAGATAAGGTAAGACCTATGCAACAAAAGTTGTAGCTTTTGGATTGATAAGGTCAGTGAAATGCCCTCAGGATTTATCCTGAAATCCTGTACCTCAGATTGTAGATCCTTTGTCAGTGTCAGCCATGTGGATGAATCACAGCCATTGCTTGGCCAATGTGCTCTCTGTGAAAGCCTGAGAGAATGTTTTCTCTCCCTGTGACTCCCCTTAGGCACACTCTACATCATCGATCACTTTCCTCTTTGGCCCCATAATCTCCTTGATCAGAAGATTTGAGACACTATTGAGTTATGTGATGTTACAGTACAAGTTTTCATATGTCCTGAGTCTTAATTGACCTTGAAAGGCTAGGGTCAAAATGTTGGCTTTCTTTGAGGCCCTCCTTTTTCTCTAATTTTGGTCTGCAAACGTAGGTTGTTAACCCTCCAGAAGACAAGTTTGTTGTTATTACCATGCAACCTAGGCTGTTAAGCTTAACCTCACTATCTGTCTGAATATAAAATATCTTAGACACAACATGGAGCAGGTATTTTTCATAAAGTATTGATATGTTGAACTTAAGTCCCTATAGAATGCGATGAAAAAACATTTAAAAAATTAAAATATGTTTTAAAAATAGGCATGAAGAATTATATAATTCTTATGTTTACACATAAGTCCACAAATCTAACCATATACAACCTTGTAGCAGGACAGTCCCACAACATTCCTTTTCCTGTTTCCTGCTTTCATTCACCACCCCCTTCTTTTTGAACAATCATCTACCTGAGAGACAGCATGGCAGCAACTGGCATGTCATGACAAGCAGCCCGTATTCAGAAGACCAAAGTGACAGGCACTCCAAGCATGAACCTAATAGTAGGCTCAAGTGCTGGGATTACAGGCGCACTCCACCAGGTCCAGTGACAGAGGCAGGACCAGCTCGGCAGGCTGAGGATTGAGCCACTGCTTCTGTGCTGTGCCTGAGAAGGCACTTTAGTCTGCTGAGCTATTTGGCCAGCCCGATAGGATCTCTTATATTTTCTGTGCTATGATTTTCTCACAATACTTGTACTTACCCACAGGAACCTAATAACCCCAACTAACAAAACACTATACTGTATAACATGAACTAAAAGAAATAACATAAAAACTACAGAAAGGGGGTAGGGGAGAGAAGAAAAAAAGAAGGGTATTTTTAAGAAACTGTAATATGGCTCAGTGCAATAAGTGCTTCCCTGGCCAGTGCAAGGGCCTGAGTTCAATTCCCAGTTCTGAAAAAAAAACCTTATAATATGTACATGCAACCAATCCACAAGATGATGGTACACTGCATGAGATGCAAATGTGTACTAATACATTTTTAAAAAAAGATTGTAAGAATTAAATGACTTAATAGAAGCAAATTATTTAACATCATTCATTTTTCTTAGAAAACTTTCATTCACAGGGTTGATGTGTGCCAGGACCTGATAATAAAATTAAAACATCCAGGAATGATATGAATATGAGAACTAGTAGATCTTAGTAGGAATAATAATAATAATAGTGATAATAATATTTGACATCTATTGGTTACTTAATATACCTTAGGTTGTATTCCAAGTGATCTTTCTTTTATTTATGTACTTGGTACATGGTCTCACTATGCAGCTTGGACTCATAGTGATCCTCCTGTTTTCAGCCTCTCCTCTGCTGGGATTGCAAACATGTGCCACCATGCATGTGCTTGGACTTAGTGGTCAGTTTAGTGCACCTGGGGCTGGGGCCAGTGCGGTATGTGAAACTGAGGATGGTACTCTGGTCCTTGTACTTTTCAAAGCAAGTACTTATTCTGCTAAGCTATCTCGCAGGCCCTCCAAGTGATTTGGTCATGTAAGTGGTAATAAACCTATGACATATATGCCACACCACAAGCAAAGAGCCCTCATTTTTGGCAAGGAAGTCAAGTTGTTCCAGGAATGGAGCATCAGATACCAGTTTTCTTTCCTAAACTAAAACTTTAATATTGAGTTTTAATTACAGTGTGGGCACTTTGAACTATATAACTGGGTTTGTGGTTGAAGGTTGGAAACTTAGTCTCTAAAATGTTTATCATCACTTATATTACCTCATGTAATTCTCAGAACAATCTTATGTTATAGGTACTATTTTACAAGTGAGGACATGGAAACCTAAAAACTTTAAGTAGTATACTTAAAATAAGCAGTAGAAGTTGAAGGTCTATGCTTATAAGTATTATTCTACATTGCCTTACTGTCACGGCATATTGATATGTCATTTCCTACCTATTCATAAAGGCAAGGCTTGAAAATGAATGAACACACTTTTACTTATTAAATAAATAAATAAATAAATAAACAATCCAGTTAATCAAGTCTCAGAATAGACTATAGTATTTTTTTAAGTAGGAGTAGCCATAGTAAGAAATATAGTTTTGAACATGGTACAAACTCATGAATAAAGTGAGTGCTAGTACCTGTATTTATTTTTACCATGGTTTAAGTATTCCATATAAAACATTATTTGACCATAAGTGACAATTAATAGGAAATAAAATGGTCACCTAATAGGAAATAAAAAATGGTCTCATAATTGAACAAGAACTTTTTATAGAATCTAATGGCCTGGTTGTACAGGCCTATAATCCTAATGCTCCCGGATTCTGAGGCACGATATCACAAGTTTGAGTCTAGCCCAGAAAACCCAGAAAACCTCTGTTTCATATATAAAAAAAAATTTAAAAAGATTTGGTGATATAGGCCAAATGTGAATCCCCTAGGTTTAGTTCCCAGTAGAGAAAAAATTACAACAAGGTCTTTAGTGTATTTAAACTTCTCCAATTATTCCTCATTTTAATAATTTCATATTAAAATCAGGTTTAAGTTGCAGTATCTATCTATCTATCTATCTATCTATCTATCTATCTACCTATCTATCTATACTGCTCAATTGGGAAAATCAGGTTAAATCTGAAAAAAGTTACTAGTGACATATCTGGATAAATTTTTTCTACCACCTTATTCTATTCATTGTAGGAATAGAGCTACCATAAGTACATGTTTCTTAACTTAATTTACATTTTAGACTACAAACTACTCAAGCAAAGTAATTAATATTCAGTCAAAATAAAATGCCACCCAGAAAATTCAATACAATTTGATATTAAATGAGGGTGACTTTAATCACGGTGACTTAAAAAGAAAAACAATAGTTCTCTTAAAAGTATGAAGACTATCTTATAATTGTTTTTGACTTTGCCTTCCCAAACATGGTAAACACACAAGTTTTCAACTATTTAATGAAAATAAAGGTATACTTTTTTGATTCCATTGTACAACTTTCAATTCCTAGGAAAAAATTACACATCGAATTTTCTAATGTCTTCCAAGTAACTATTGCTTTAATGAAATTGCTACCTGAGTATTTGGTAGCAGCATTATTGTTTAAGTATAATTTAAGAACCTATTGTAGGTTAGCACTTATGACTTCTAATGAGAAAACCATAACTACATTTTAATTGAAAGGAAAATGGTTAACTACAGTAATTGCAATCAATAAGTCTGTGTTAGTAGTGTAAACATTTCTTTCAAAGAACATTCCTTACTCTGAAGTAGTATTTAAGGTTAGGAAGTGAAAGGAAACCTAATTAGAAATCTATTTGTTATTTATAACACAAAGCTTTGCTTCAAATTTGTACGTACAATAGTAGAGAGAGAAATCCCTATCCCACTGCAATAGAACAAGACTTTGATTAAAGCAGAGGCATGGAAAAAGGGTCTTACCAATCACGTAAGCTAGTAACAAGGCCAAAGTCACAGTTATCGCAGTGGCACTCAGGGCTGTGCACTTCCAGTTGCAGCATCTGTAAGGTTTGTTAAAGGTGAAGGCAGGTCTGGAAAAGGTGCTTCGAGGAAGAGGCCTTGGAGGTGGCGAGTACACAGTATTGGAAGTCAGAGGATAGTTCTGACTGGCTGCACTGAAGATAGCAGAAGAACCAGATCCATGCTTGAAGAGGAAATGCCTGTGGGGGAAAGAATGACAAAAGTTTGGACTAAAAGTCTCACATCCAGTTACCACTAAAACGAACAAACGAACAAACAAACAAGGAAAAACTGAGCTGATTTCAAACAATCATGCTTTGAGTAGCTCAGAGGAATTGGAATGGGCTTGACATGATGTTCACACACTGAACAGGTAACGAAATTGTTTTTTGTAGTCTCTCTTCATTGTTTTCTTATTTAGACCTATAAGAGGAACTAAGTATGTTACTTCCTATGTTGGCTAGTGAGTGTTAATATTCAACATTTGATATTATTCCCTATATACCTCACCTTGATTAAGTGCAGATGTCAAGAGCTGATTTTAAAACAGATGCCTTGTCAAGATTTTTTTAAGATAAGTATTTGAGATTTTCCTACCAAATGTTAAAGATTAGTTTTCATTGGTGTATTTTGACCAAACATTTTATAAACATTGTCAAATGTATATCCAAGTTGATAGGATTTTGTAGAGAACAACTGTAAGCTCACCAATTAGATTCTATAGTTAACATGTGACTATACTTAATTTATCATCTAGTTTGGTATTTTTTCAGATTTTCTATATTAAATTTATACTTGATCAATTGCACAATGTTAAGGGTACATTTGGTGAGATTTGACAAATGCAGTCCTCTGTGCAGAGTAAATCCCTGTCAAGGTACAGATAGAACATTCTGATCACACCAGGGAGATCCTTCTTTGCTATGTAAATCCCTTTCTTCATTGTCAAAAATATCCACCTTTCTGCAGTACATTTTTATACAGTACATTTGCTTGTTTCTATTGTAGAGCTTCACACAAATGAAGTCATGTTGTTTAAATTACTATGGGTTGATTATTGACTATTTCATGACTATTGTAATATGGGCCTTTCAGAAACAGTAGGATGCGTTCACAGGGAGGGAATTGACCAAATCAAAGAAAGTATATTTTAATTCATAAACTTCATACATACTGAGTGTTAGGTGTTGTGTTGCTTGCTCATTGCATCATTTAGTTAATTCAGTCTTCACTTAAGTGGCACAGTTATGTTGGTATCTTTATTGTACATGTAAGAAATCCAAGACTAAGGGGATTAAACCATTTTTCCAGATTCATCTGACAATTAAATGATAGAGCTAGAACTAGAACCCAAGTCATACAGTTTCCAAAGATCTGGATCTTAACTAATCTACTAGACCATCTGAGGCATTAAAATTCATTGCTAAACAAAGTACACTCTAGTCCTACATGTGAATGTAGAACACAGAAACCTTTTACTAAGTAAAAATACAACATTACCTTGCTCATGTAACATATGTCCAAATGTGTAAATCATTAATAGGACTTAAAGACTGATTTCTAGCTTATACACGTAAAGAACAAAGGCACAATGATCCAAATAAACAGTTAAAAACCCTGAATTCAAGTTAATGTAAAAGATCCAAAATAGAAAATGTTCTAGTATATGAGGTTAGAGTTTTTAAAGGTCTATGCTACAAATGAGTAGTTAAAATTTAGGAGCCTTTCTGCAAGGCAATTTGTGTTATGCATGAAAAGATTTTAAATGAAAATATTTGTGTACACAGTAATTATGTTAATAGGAGTTTGTCCTCACAAAATGATTTCCATAACAATGTATAGATGAAGTCATTCATTGAAATATTATTTACAATAGCCAAAGCAACCCACTCAAATTCCTAATATTATAGTTGACATTTCACTGTCAATTATTTATAAATATAAAATACTGTATAATCATTACAAACTGACTGTAAAAGACAATCAGTCACTAGGAAAAATGTTTATAAATATTATCAAGTGAAAGAGCATGCTTAAAAAGACTAAAGGCAATGGGATGCAATTTTTCAAAGAAAAAGTAGACATATTCATGGAAAAATAATAACGTGTTATGATTCAGAGGGGTATTTTCAGAACTTTCTGTCATACGCTTGTATTGATGTCATAACTAAGATCAACAATATTGATGGGAAGAAAGTGGATAATTTCCTGGACTGAGCTAACTATAAGAATAGTTGGCTTAACTTAAGTGAGTGTGATCTATTTAGCACTAAGAAGGGCCAGGTACGAATTTAGGCATCTTACCTACACTATTTTGATCCCCATATATCTGTGAGACTGACAGTACTTTCCTTTTAACTTATAGGTGATTAAAATGAGATTCAAAGAAGGTTAGAGCACATTGGCCAAGCAATGGCCGTGACTCATCCACATGGCTGACACTGACAAAGATTCTACAATCTGAGGTACAGGATCTCAGGATAAATCC